ATGAGAAAGTCCCATGGTACCCAATCCAGATAAAACCACTTTCAAATTTTATTAAAACCATTTGAAACACTAAACACTGAAAAGAAAACACAGAACACGACAAACTGTTTTTCATAAAAGAACGCAACCAAAGAAAAAAACAGCTGATAAAAAAGAACAAAATGTTGAACACAAAAAGAGACTCTGCTCAAAGAGACGGTAAAATCATGCTCCCACAACTGGCCTAACCCACCAGTAAAGGACGTCCTGAGCATGCTCTATTGGCGGCTTCACAACCCACGCTACACCACGCTTAAGACACGCACTCTTAATTTTGAAGAAAGTAGCTCTCGTGAGAGCGACTCTTTAAAATAACCGAAACTAAACAAAATGCTTTTCCAAAGACAACTAATAAAAATGATAACCAAAACTGATATCGCGATCATGATGCAGTTGTAAATATGGAATGTAAAAAAGTTTCTTAGAGCAAAAAAATGCAGCGAAAAAAAATGAAAACTCGATGACATTCCGACTCTGGAATGGCAAATCTATTGGTTTGTTGCCGTATTCATAACCCTCACAGGATTCGAAGTATGGACCCAATGTCGCAGCAAAGATACCTATTGAAGAAGAACAATGACCAGCTCGATGTTGATCTGACATACGAATCCTAGTCTATTAGCGCTTCACACAGAGAAGTCAAACCCCACCTCGCTATTCCATGGATAATTGAGATGGCACGTAGTCTCGCTCTAACCTAACGAAATCAACACATTATTGCATAAATCTGAAATCTTTACACGTTCACTCATCACGATCCGGATACACTAGACCCATTTCTGGAGAAGGAGCAACTGTACCTCTTCTCTGCATGAAGAGAACTACTCGAAATCACGAGCAACTGTTTCTTTCTCCTCATTCACGCAGCCACTGCTTCATATGAATCTATTTTCCAACAATGAAGATATTTCTCCATCTATCCTTATCTACAATAAACAATACAATTGAAAATTTCTATACCACGGATGGTTGGAACCACTTTATAATTAGTATTGATATCCAGTTATATTATTGATAAACCTATCTCTGTAAAATATTTCTAATTAACCAGTTATGATCCATAACTAACATTTACTATAAATTGTATAGCTGAAATTATTCATAGTTTCAGCAACAGAACAGAATAAATATAACTTATCAAACAGTCGTTCTTCTTCAGAACAGTTCATGATATCTTATCTCGCAAATACCAGCATACACTAGATCTATTAAGGCTAGGAGATATAAGAGTAAGATTAAAATTGGTATTAGATTAAGAAGTTGCACGAATCTAACCGGCCGAAAATAAGATAGAGTGACAAACAGACGGTGTAACTTATCTGAAATTACTCTATGAGTATGTTACCTCTGGCATAAACTCAAATGGGAAAAACAACAGCCCCTGTTTAGGAGTTATGTTGCAAACTGTTTGTGTTCCACTCGTGGGCCAGTGGTATGAGTGCCGGCTACCATGTGATCCTGATTGCACTGGACAGGGTCATTCTCATCCGTGCTCCCTTCTGGCACAAGCGGCAGCTCACCACTAAGAGTATTCTACGAATCAGGGATGTTCATATAATTAAGAGAAAAAAAACGTAACCTGGTGATTTATTGATTATTGGCCGTCCTCAGCTGTTTAATTGAAGTTATAGACTTACATATTTTTCAGGTTGTAGTTTTTGGTCATTAATACAACAAAACTGTCAAGTTTTGTTTTTAACCAAATTTAAGTTACGAACTAAAAGTTATTTTATATGCTTTCTGCAGAAGCTTTTCGCAATCTTTATCCATACTTTTCTTACTTCTTTTTCTACCAACATTTCTAGCATCCAATCTAACGCCAAATTTCACGCTTAAGATTTTCTAAATGCGCTTTATGTTTCAAAATAAAATTGAATTCGCAAAATATTAATTTGTTAGCTGGCTAAAAATAGAACAATCAATGGCACAAAAACTACCAAAAGAGCCAAACCCGACGGTTTTGGAGAGCTTTTTTACCAACTTAAGGTCCCGGCTTTAATCAATATAATTCAGAAGGACATAAGCTGTTCGATTGTTTTGAAAATAAACTTCCTAATAGAAATCTGTTCAAAGAAAAAAAAATTCAATGAAATGTATCAAAAGGTTTTTTTCTAAATTTTATTTTGAAGAAAATTTTGTGAATATCCTTTTCGCAAACCATAGCTGCTCAGTCGCTGCAATATCGTACGTCTGTTGCACTCCGTGCCTCATAATTGCAACTAGGACCTCGGAACAATCGGGTAAATGTGAAATTCTGGAGGGTCAAATTCTAAACACCTGGTACGCACAGTTGTTCTCCTATTTCATGATGGCTGTTCTTGCTGTTCCGACTGTTGTTCTCGTCATCTGTAACGTCGTGTTCGGCCGAGCGTTGAATCAACGAGAGAAAAGGTTGAACGCACATCCGCAGAAAAATCAGCTAGACGTTCCAACTGATGTAATGAACGAAGGCCAAAAAGTCTCTCAAACCTCGCAGGATAGCACAAGTTCAAAGGACAATCGAAAACGGGTCAAACAACAAAACCGAAGAAATTACATAACGATGCTCATGTTTCTATCGCTTGCCTACATCATATGCTCTTGTGGCACCACAACTTTTGTCATCATTTTCTGGTTTTCTGAAAACGAGGCTAAGGTTTCGTTTTTCAAAACAGCTGCTGAGATTTGGACCATTTTGAACAACTCAACAAACTTTATATTCTACTGCATGAGCGGGTCGGCCTATCGGACGGCGTTTCGGAATGGGATTGCTCCAGTGTTTCAGCAATGTAGAAACAACATCAGGAGGCAACGGGACTGCGGGCAAACTGGCCGAAAAATATCACAATTGAGTACTATCGAAATGAGTGTTGTGACGATGACTGTTGCCGGACGCATGTAGAATGTAAGAGTACAATCAGAATTAATTTATGGGATTTGAGGTCAACTTTTGTCAATGAGCTGTGAATAATCAACTCCAAATACGAAATCAAGAATCTTTGACCTCCTGTCAAAATTTACATGGCTCTTTCGTATTTCAGTCTGAATAATAATTGATTTTTAATAGCACATTAAAATTTAAATAATTGAATGATTCTGATATATGTTACCCCTATCAATTATATGCTATCCCTATCAACTATCTTACCTTGCATTAATTTCAGGAGCGGATCAATGTTTTTCTCTAGCGGGATTTTCAATTTTTTTTCAAAAATTGTGTCGACACCTTTTTTTAGAGTTGCCGAGCTCTCCCAAATCATTGACAAGACTTTATTTCGACCAAATTTTCTGCGCCGCAGGCGATCTGTTGAAAAAAGAGACCAAAAGCGTTTTTAGGCACGTTTTCGAAAATGTTGACCAAAAATTGCGTTTGTCGGCTCGAACTCCCTTGTCGGCTAGAAAATAATTAGGGTCAATCAGCTAAAAATAAACCTTAAAATAGTACCAAAGGAGAACCTTGTGGGTCGGCTGTGGGTCAAATCCTTGAAGAAAATGCGCCCCTGATGCATTTATTGTATTGCATGTTTTCATAAATCTATAACTCTCCCTCACATTTGTATTTGAATTGAAATTTTTTCTATCAAAATCTGATTTTTTATGTTTAGCAAACTGGGATCAAACTTTCAAAGCTAGGAAGGCAAGCAAAACTACGGTTTAGAAAGTTTTTTCTAAATTGATGTAGTTTTTTCTGCTTGGTGTGATAAAAAAAAGTCTGACGCAAAATTATAATTTAGGCGTATTAGACAGTCATAGTAAAACTTTTGAATTTTTTAAAGTTTTTGGTTCCCAAAATGAAGCTTAAAAACTCCAAATACAAAATACCTTTTCACGTGTTCTGTATATGTAGCTGATATAAATTTCCTGATGCTTTCTATCACGCCATAAGTGAAACCTCACAGCATGCTCTGCAAGAGAAATCACCAAACTCACATGTAGCTCATGTAATTAACAGGATGCGAAAGTCACGTGAGTGTCGGATGATTAAAATCTCAGATTTCTATTATATTTCAGCAGTTGCTCGCAAGCGGTATTTAGTTGCACGGCAAAAAATTTTTGAGTCCGAAGGCAACGACTCCAAAAATTACGTCCGACAACGTTCACAGGCTCCTGTAAAGCAAGGGAGAAAGCTGAGAATATCAAAGAAAATTCAATTTAATTGTCAGTCAGATCGAAATCGATTGAAATCGTCAGATCGTGTATTCGATCCCATGCCATGGCAATGATAGTGTGTGAGGAAAAGCTCTCACTTGACCTCCAGCTTCAGGTCTACCACAACCTGACCAAATTTGGCTGCAATAGTGGTACCACGTAAAAGTTCTAGACGCAAAAAAATGGCCTCGAGTCGCAAAAAACCAGCTTCGCTTAGCAAAATAACACTGTCTGGAATGTGGGGAGATAATACAAACGGACTATCCTCGACAGGACTGTTAAGGCCTACTGATAGCTCCTCTGCGGTTCGCAGGAACAACAATTATTATTAATTATTAATTATAATTTAATCACTCAGCAATAGCAACTAGGCCTTAATAAGAGAGTAAAAACAGTTTAAAAAATCCACTGAGCCATTAACTAATATATGCTATGCATACACACATAATGGGAGGAAGGAAAAAGGGCCATTTGAAAAACCTTTTTAACGTTATGTCTTGGTGTAATCAAATTCTGCATGATAAACTAAATATGTAAGTTGATTACACTTGTTTTTCATATTATACAACGAAAAATCGCACATTAGAAAAATCATCAGAAAATTCAGCCATAATAGCACGCAACACAACTAAGAAAAGGGAAAACTTGAAATGTTGGGGGGGGGGGGGGTCGAAAAGAGCCAGAATTGTTGCTAGAGTTATAGAGTTATCTCAGACAATCTAACCTCTTCTACCAAATTAATGCCGATATAGATACGGGATACACATTTTTTTGGTCTACAAAAATATTTAATTTAACACGTGCACTTTAATGTCTGATTTTGAATAAAAATAAGCATTTACCTCCAAACACGCACAATAACACAGTACGCACACACATTTTTGTGTACATTAAAATTTGTGTACATTGGTTTAAAAAATACCTCACTTGTGTTTTTTTGTTACGAGAGTTTTGTAGTTTGCGTCTGCGGTGATGTCGCACACTTCGTACAATAAACAGTGGCTGATGGCCCAGCAGGAGATCTCGGATCTCTTAGTGGAGGAGTGTCCCCCCGAGCCCCCCAAGCCAGAGCAGGACAAGACAGTCGCCTTCCAGAATGTGGCCACGCTTTATGTAAAATATGCAATTACTTTTCTCTTTTTATTATAGTCTCTTTAACCGTCACCCCATTATCGGTTTTTACCAGAAATTTCTATCAAGCCATAAAAGCATCTCTTGAGTACTTTGTGTCAGCGTGAACGAGTGAATGAATTTTAACATCATTTCTTATATGCAAATAGAGTATGAACAATTTTTAATTAATTTGATGTAAGAACCCTGTTAGTTAAAAAAAGAGGGGTATTTTCTAATACCCCCCCCCCCCAGCCACACACACACACGCACACACGCACACACGCACATATACACACATATTTGAGTTCCAAGTTTGAAAATCTATTTTAACGCTGTCAGAATTCAATTAAATATAACACATAAAACAACTTTTAAAATGAAAAATACGAGAAGTGTGGTACGGGGCGTGAAAAAGAGCTTACACGAGTACTCATTATTGCTTTATTTTACTGTAGGTGAAGTACATCCAGATCTTCCGGCGTCTGGAGCAGTGCTATGACCAGGTGGTCCACCCGCAGAAGAGGATGTTGCTGAGACACCTGCTGGACGGGGTGACTGGCAGGGTGCTGGAGCTGAAGAACGAGCTAGTGGGTCTTGACTTCCACGAAGTACACGTGCTGGATGACATTCTTATGGACATGAAGCTGACCCCGGCTGACCTGGAGATGCCGATTCCCAAGTACTACACACTGGAACGGGCAAAGGTTTGAGCATCAATAGCAGATTTGTACAAAAATATAATTTTCGCACCTGCATTGGAAATATATAAAATACTGTTCTAATTAAAATTCTGAATAAGGCAGAGTGCAGGAACTAAGATCTCAAGAAAGAAAAAAGGAAAATGGGTTCGTTTTAAGTAGCAAATCAGCATGTTGAGCTGAAACAGCTGAAACAATTTGCTCGTCTTTTGCTCGTGAACTCTCTCGGCTCTTTTACGTTTTTGGTTCTTTTTCCTAACCCTATTAAAAATTTGATCCTATTAAAAATTTGGTTATGCAATATCAGATGCAGCAGTGAATTGAATAAAAGCAATGATAAAATATTTTTTTGCCACTGAGTCTTCTATGCCTGTGGCGGTTTAGGTGCTGAAGGAGCGTGAGAAGATGTTGAGTTCCATCCTGGCCAGGATAGGGGCGGGGGAGGCAAAGGAGTCGGATGAGTACAAGATGAGCATCCCAGACGCCATCCAATTAGTCCAGGTACACGAGAGGGCCAGACAGGGCAGGCTCAGGGCAAAGTTCATGCGCGAAATCAGGTAAACCGCTACTTATAGGAATTTATCGATGAATAAGTCTCAAAAGATTGAAGGCCAAATTTTATAGTTGAATCGAAGTTTCAGTGCGAATCATTGTTTTTGTTTTAGTAGTTAACATAAGTAACGTAATTTGTAAGCAAAGTATGGTTGGGTACGCTTTAAAGTTTAAACATACATATTGGGCGCAATTTCTACATACCGGCTGTCGTACATATTTTTGTTACTTTTTTAAATGTTTCTCAAACTAATTTATGTATTTTTTATTCTTTCTAGGCAACAAGAGGAGAAGGAGAACGAGGCGGCCGCCAGGGGAGTCCCCACCCTGGACCCAGAAGTAGCTGCAATCAAAGTTCAGAAGGTAGCGCTCTTATTGTCTATCACTGATTAGTCAGGTTTTCCGCAGTACCACCAGTAGGTTTACACCCTCTTGGATTTAGTTTGGTATAATTTTCTTTTGATGAAATTCATCCTAGGTAATTTAGCAAGGGCTTTTAGCGTGCATTTAGTAAACAAAAGCTATACGCTTTTTTTTCTTATAATCAAAGATAATTTTGTGGCATTTCGTGACGTTTTCCCGTTAATGATATCTTACAGGGGCGGATTTGGAGGTGACGGACGCATACGAATACTAGGTATGGTAGATAGGATATTAACCAATCAGTAGCGAGACAGAAAACAAGCAAGTGTAAGCAAGAACAACAAGACTGCTCGTATCCGGGCGGAATCCCTGAATGTTATGACTGCCCTTTAAGGTCTATGGACCAGTAAAAACATGAAAAAATTGTAATAAAACAAAAAGAAAAAATTTAAAATTTGAGATTTTTTGTGAAAATCATCACCCACATGCCATATAAAATACAAAGTGATAAAATTCGCTTTTATTATCCAATCAATTGTGGCAAAAAGACTTCTTTTAACCAATTTGAACGATTTCTAAGACGGATTAAATCTCCGCTTATGCGTTAATATCGCATGTTAATTGGGCTTTTTTTCCTCCCCCAAATACGAGCATCAATTTTATCGTGTAACGAGTGATTTTACAAGGTTAATTATGAAGACCAAATATGTTTGCCATGGCCTTATTAGTCCGTATGCCAATTTTCATAACCATCGAATAATGTGAACAAATTTTTCATTTGTAAAATTTTGCAGGTGGGGGGGGAAGGAAAAAGAGCCGTTAATTGGCCAAAATGGCCAAAATGGCAAACCCCCATAACTTTTCTATTATCACAATACGAGACGCTAAACACTTCTTCTGTATTCTACATAGCGTGGGGTGATAAAATGAAGACAAAATGAAAAAAGTTATTTTTTTCTCAATTGTTTTGTCAATTATTCAACCAAAAAAAAACTTTTTAATTGGCCTTAAGTACAGTCGAAACATTCAAGGATTTGCCTTGATATACGAGCAGTCTTGTCTTCTCTTAATTCTGAGTGTTAATATAGTGTTTGTCTACTTTATGAAATTTCATTTTTTTGCGACGCATTTTGATGAATAAAATCAATTTAATTGAAACTTAACGTGTCTCAAGTAGAGCCAGTTGTTCCGACTTTTGTAACAAAAGTAACGGAATATTTGTGCTCTGGGTGGGTTTTTTTCTTCAGACAAATTTAGACTGTTTAACTATCCATTTTTGACGGAACTTTTTTTATATCAATCGAAAGCTATTGTTGTCCTGAGCTTAAACTTGAAAAAATATTTCTTCTGTGATTATTTTTCGTAAAGTTATGGGGCTTTAAAGATCGCCTTTTTGGCTATTTGGGGCAATTAACGCGCGATAGGTTTCGCGCTATTAACGCGTAAGCGAGATTTAATCCGTATTAGAACTCGTTCCCAATTGATTCAAGGAAGCTTTTATGTCATAACTGACTTGTTAATAGGAGCAAAATCTATCACTTTGTACTTAATATAGCATGTGGGGGATGTTTTTGCAAAAAAAAATCTTTTTTAATTCCGACTTTCGATACGAAAGTGACTGAATATTTGTGCTCGGGGTGGGTTTTTTTTTCTGCAGACAAATTTCGACTTTTTAACTAGCCTTTTTTGACACGAATGTTTTATATCATTCAAAAGGTATTGTTGTCCTGAGTTTGAATTTGAAAAGATATTTCACTTGTGATCATTTTTTGTAAAGTTATGGGGGTTTAAAGATTGGCATTTTGGCCAACTTGGGACAATTAACGCGCGATTTATTTCGCGCTTTTAACGCGTGAGCGGAGATTTAATCCGTTCTAGAAACCGTTCCAAATTCGTTTAAATAAGCTTATAAGCCATAATTGATTTGTTACAATGAGCGAAATCTTTTCTTTTAATCTTAAAAGGCAATCGGAACATTCAGGTCATCGCCCTGATACTAGCAGTCTTGTTACCTTTTACTTGCATTTTCTTTAGGTGTGGAAGGGGTTTGCGGCCAGAAAGCGGGTGAGAAAGGAGCGGGAGGAGGAGATGATGTTCATTCACATGGTGCCAGCCCCCGCCCCTCCCTACAAGAACACGGCAAAATATGCTTCCCTCAAGAACGAGGACAAGAGAAGGACCACCCAGGAGACCAATGAACAGGAGTACCAGGCTAGTTGTAACACACCAATCATCAATTCTTTCTTGCCAAAAAAATGATGTTTCAATTTTATATCGTTGATTTATAGTATTAGTCAATTGAGACGATACTGTGTCAAAGACAGTTTTGCGGAACTGAAATGATTAAACTTCTTTCCTGGATTTACCAGAAGAACACCGTTTCTCATCATGCAAAAAAACTTTTATGTTACGCTCATCCCAGCTTTTAGTCAAACTTGCTTATACCCCATTGCTAATTATTGCTTTTTTCTTGTTTTTTTTAGAGCTGAAATGATTACAATTTCTGATTTTAGAATGCGCGTATCTCTGTGAAGCAGAAGATACGAGAGGTGGAGGGACCGGACATGAAGGAGACTCTGCAGGAGAGCATCCGGGAATGGTTCATAGAGACCAGAGACGCCACTGGCAAGTTTCCAGACTTCCCCGAGGAGGACGAGGGGGGATCACTCAAGATATTCCAGGCATGCATTCATTTGAAATTTTTTGACCATGAAACATTAAAACCATGAAACATATGATTTGATTCAAAATGTTCTTCATATTTTCGTGTAATAGACATTGACTGTTTAAATGCGTTTTAAGTGGTTTATAACATCAATTAGCTGGTCCAAAGCATTTAGACATTGAAGTGGATCATAACGTCGATATAGAAACAAATCCTAAGATGCAGTAAAGCTGTGTATGCCTTCATGAAGATGTTAGGTACAGTTTGGTTGTATGGAAGGCGTGGTTCGTGTAAAGGAAGGCGTGGTTTCAGGAGAAAGACCCAGCTGAACTGGCCAAAGAGCTGGAGGAGAAGGAGGAGGGAGGGGACAAGAAGAAGGGCAAAAAGGGCAAGAAGAGTGGGAAGAAAGACAAGAAAGACAAGAAGGGCAAGAAGGGAAAGAAAGGTGCAAGATCTTGCCTAGAACCGGGGCATCTTTAAGTGGGGGGGGGGGGGGGGGGGGGGAGGACTTTTTTTCTCAAAATATCGACCCTTTCACACTCAAAGATACAGAAAGTCGGACACTTCTTTTCTCAGAGTATATAACCATTCACAGCCCAATGGGTCCCCTTGGTATCATTTTAAGTCAAAATTTGGTGAAATTTTACTTTTTTGGCCGAGAATTTCTTAAGTTTTACTAACGTTCAGGTTTTTAATTTTTTTTGATCAAATATGATTTTGACTACAATCCGGCGTAACGGTCCGCAGAATTATATCTTTGTTTGCAAAAACAGCATATATCTGGCTTTTTTCTGTCTTTCATAAACCAATTCCATTGTTGTGTATCTATCATTTTTTTAATTAAAGAAAATTATTAAAAAAAAAAACATTCAGGCAAGAAGGGGAAAGGAGATGACGACGAAGAGGAGTCCGGGTTCAAGATGGCGGAGTCCAAGTTCCTGCCCAATGTGAAGGAGGCCTCGAGCGATTTCGACACAGTGTGGAAGACGAGAGACGAGAGCCTCAATTTCAGCCAGAAACACGACCTCGAACTCATCAAGGAGGAGAAGCGAAAGGAGGTCGAGGAAGAAATCCGAGTTCAGGTGACTTATATTTATTTAAATGATTTGCCGCGTCGTCATTCGCGAACCTATTAAGAGAATTTTTCATTTGATTTTTTTTCACTATCAACTTTGCGAGAGGATCACCCTTGTCTGTTTCGTGTCAATTTTGTTGCTATTGTGACAACTCACATATAAAACACTTAAGCCTAAGCGGCAACTCGCAAAGCTCAACAAGAATAGCCAGTTGATGCGAAAGTTGTACAGAGCATTCTGACCAACTAAATTGATTTGAGAAGTTCTATTGGCAGTGAAAAAAAGCTGGGAAAAGTTTTTAATTTTTTTTAGTTTTGTTTGTCTTTTATCGTTGTTTTTTTAGAAAACGGGCATCCAAGTAAGCATAACGCTGTACAATTTTGAATGTAAACGGACATAATCTAAAAACGGTGCGTAATTTGTCTGAAAAACTAAAAAAAAGTCAAGCAGTTCCGGCCTATTATCAGACTGCTTGCTATCTTTTTTCGCGATTAGGCTCAAAATCATTTAATTTGAACCAGTTTTTTCCAAACACGAAAACTTTTGGAAAATTTTTTAATTGGTTCAAATCGCGACTGAAAAAGTTTTTAATATGACTTATCATTCGACTCTTCAAATGATTTTTTTTGTGGATGAATAGTTACCATATTTTGCGTCTAAAACAAAAAACTAAACAACTTCGATGTCAAAAACCCTCTGCACTTAGAACCATCCGAGCATTGAGAGATTTTTTTTAGATTTGAATAACTAAAAAAATTTTGTGAAATTCATTTGATCTATTTCGCAATTCGCGTGCCAATTCGTGTGCCAATTTACCTACAAAAAACCAATGAAGTCTATTGTAAAGTGATTCACTTAACAAGTGGGCTCTATGCATTTGATACTATGCAATTGATATGGAAAAACAGGTCATGAACCAGATAAATCGGAGGCCGATCAGCAATTAATAGCTATCAGTAGCTGCATAATTACCATTTGTCTTCAGGAAGCAACAGACAAAAAACCGTCCAGCATTAATGGAATTGTGTATTATTAAAAGTTAAATCCTTCAAATAATATTAAAAATGGGTTTACATATAAATTTTACTAACATTTAATTGTAACACTAATTTTAAAATAAATTTGAACACAACACGATTAGATAAATTGACAGTTTTTTGTCTGCTGCTTCCTGGAGGCAAATGGTAATTAAGCTGCTATGTATAGGGGGATCGCTCGTCTAGCATAAAACTCGACTAGCATAGTTTTGTGAAACTAAGCAAACAGCAAGCAAATGAAATTTTGAAACCAAATAACATCTCCCTACTTGACCCCCATTAAGAAACCAAACTGTGCACTGGATAGGAGCACAATTTTGTGTCTGTATGTTCCTGGATTCCAGAGACAAATCTTAAAATATGTTTCAAAATGTAAGTGAATTCCACAAACAAAATTTCAGTTGAATTCGCAAACATATACCGGTAACGTAAATTTTGTCGGCGCATTTGTTTTTGTTCCGGATTCTGCAACGAGCAAATATAGCTAGTTGTTCTGGGTTCCGCAACTGTAAGTGGATTCCGCAAAATGTAAGTGGAACCCGCAAATGAAAGTGGATTCCGCAAACTGTAAGTGGATTCCGAATTTTGTTAAATACTGAACTTGCATATGAACAATTAAAAGCTGAGCTGGAATCGTTATCTCTAGCAATGCGGAAATTAAAAGCAAAGACTTAACCATTGTCAGCGGAATCCACGAACAAGTCTTTGAACATTGGTTACCTAAATCGGTGGATGTCATCTTTTAGTATTTTGGAAAAACAACACCGAACATTTTCAATATTTGTAGTCATTGAGTTGAGAGGTTATGGAACACACAGCATATCGACAAATTAGGTCAGTATTTGGGATTGCGTCAATCCCAAATACTGATTTTGGAAGAATAACGCCGAATAAATGCAGTAATTGTAGTCATTGGGGTGAGACTGTATGGAAACACAACACACAGCATATCGCCAAATTAGGTCAGTATTTGGGATTCTATCGATCCCAAATACTGGTCAGTATTTGGGATTGATAAAATCCCAAAAAGTGGAATAACGTGGAATAAATATGGAATATATCCATTATTTGGAGTCATTAGGTTGAGAGTGATTAGAAACCCAACGCATAGCAAATCGTCGAATTAGTTCAGTATTTGGGATTTCATCGATCCCAAATACTGGTCAGTAATTGGGATTCCATTAATCCCAAACACTGATCTATTCTAGTAAATTTCTATTCTAGTAAAATCAAATCATGTATTGAAAAGATATAAATCTAAAGGCTACTACACATATAAATATATGTAAAGGGAATTCGCAAACAAAATGCGGATTCCTCTTACAGTTTGCGGATTCCGTTTACAATTTGCGGATTCCACTTGCAGTTGCGGATTCCGCATCAGATCAATTTAACGATACAAATGTTTTATCATTTGTTTTTGGTTTCCACAAACTGTTCTGGATTCCGCAAATACAGCTGCGGATTCCGCAAATTCGCCTATTTTTTGAGCGATTTTGAGCGGAACAATGATTTAGGTATTCGTTTGTGTAATATAAAACAGCATAGAAGATCAAAAAAGCAATATTGTGGGTTCCGCATTAAATCTGATTTTGGCCAGTTAGGATTCCGCATACAATGCAGAGAATGCACAGTTTGGCCTCGTAATGCCCATCCTGAAAAAAAGGAGGTCGTTAATTGGCTTTCTTTGACTATGAGTTCGAATTTTCAGCCAATCAAAATAGAGAATTTTTCATGCAGCACTCAACAAGTTCAATGGAAGAGATAGAAGGGGAGGGATGGGGGAGGGGTAAGGAGGGGGAGGGGTAAGGAGGGGGAAGGGGTGCTAACTTGATCCAATTTTTGCAATACACAAGAATTGTGAACAGTCACACTTCGATCCAGTAAAACATTTAGAGGGGTAAGCGGACGCCTCCCCATATGACCACTCCTCATGGGATGTGACCCAATATGGGAGGGGGGAGGGGTTGTATTATAGGACTTTAAATTGGTCCAAGTTTTGTATCGCATAAACTCTGATCAGTCACACTTCGACCCAGTTAAGGATTTAGAGGGAGGAGGAGGAGCAGACGTTTCCCCATAAGACAACTCCCAAGGGATTTGACCCCATAGCCGCACAGAGGGTCCCCCCTTTGGTACTATTTTACAACCTTTATTTTTTGCTGATCGAATCTATAAAAAAAACACATGCATTAGGGGATAGTTAACAAAGTCCAACAGGAGCAAAATAATTAACAAGAACCTAATGATTTAACTTCAATTCAAATTTATTTCAGTTTTGTGTTTCGATTTCTATGCTGGTCGATAAGTATTTCAGTTTTAAAACTTTTATGCTAGTCGAGCTTTATGCTATTCGATTCACCGCCATTTATAGCTACTAATTGCTGATCGGCCTCTTTTTTTATCTGATTCATGACCTGTTTCGTCCCATTTTTTTCCGACGCGAGGGGTTATCTTTTAGACCAAAACGGCATATGAAAAATTGTAAGAATAATCATTAAAATATTAATATTAATGGGTTTCACCAAGAAATGGAAGAATTTATAAGTCCCTCGAAAGTTTGAGTTTTCTAGTCTGTTTCGTTATAAATCCAATAAGGTCCAAGTTTATATGTTGTAGTAGACGTAACAAGATATCAAGTAGTTCCAACAAAAGCCTGTTAATTCTGTCTTGACAATTTCTCCAAAAATGTTCACATGGCTGCTAATTCGTTTATGAAGAAAAATAACTCGGTGCAAAAAAAATTTGTTTGCTGGATGACAGTAGAACTTTTACAATCACAAACATTTCTTTTTGTTCAAAATTTGCTCTGGTATGTTTGAGGTTTTCGTTGATGCCAAGATATTCTCTCCATGGAACGTTGTACTTTCCTTGAACGATTTTACTGAATAGAAGAATATCATGCATCTCTCAGTAGAGAGATACAGGAAGTCTTCTAAGGCGCATGAGATGGTCTTTGTACTCGGTGCTTGGGATATCCATGTTGTAACACGTTTTTGAAGTAGCTCAGAAGAGCGAAGTGCCCGTTTACTTGGATACCACAACTGCATTCCAGATAGTAAGATTTGTATCAAAAGGCCTCGAAGTAAGTGTAACTTGGTATATTGGTTGGTAAGTAGAGATATGTTAGGGCTCTCCATGTGGAATGAGGCATACGACTTGGTACACCTCGTGTTTATATGTGTATTCCAATTTAGTTTATCTAAAAATTCTATGGTCTGTTCTAATCAAAAATGTTTGAAACAAAGCAGAATTCTTTGCTGCTGTTAAATTTGAAGAGCATAAAAACCCGCTCGTTTTAATTTATACGCTCATTGAATTGTCTTTGCAGCACTTCGATAACATATCCAGAGGGCACTGAAGACTCTGTCTTGCACTAATACAAGGGCTTAGATTATTCGCAAATCGTTTACGAAGAGCACTAGTACTTACAATTAAAGAAGGTAGATCAATTATGTAAAAGACGAACAAAAAAGATAATAGTTAAGATCCCTGTGGTACTTCGCTGGTTGCTTGTATAAACGTTGAAAGACTCCCATTGACACGCTGTTTCATGTTGGATAAATAGCTAGCCAAAAAGATTAGGAGGTTGCTTCTGATACCATATGAGTATAATTTGTTCAATAATTGCCTATGGCAGACTTTGTCAAACGCTTTTTCAAAATTTACGCAAATAGTTGCAAAAAAAATCTTGATTTTATTCTTTAGCATTGTACACTTCACTGAGGTGCGATAACATTTGGAGAATTAAAGAGTTGTTCTTCGTAAAACTATATTGCTTTGAAGAAAGGTAAGATTCAAAATTATCGTAGATGCAAATATACAAGAGCTGCTGCGAAACTTTCAATGTTGCATTCAGTAAAGAAATTGACGGTAATGTTCTTGGTTCGATTTATCACCCTTTACTGAATACTGGGACAATAATTGATTCTTTCCATTTAGTGAGAATTTATCCTTTATTGAAAAATG